ATCAATTAGATATTTCACAACCACGTTTCTGGTCATTTCATATTGAAAATCCTCACAAAGTTTTAGTCGTTCTAGAGGCTCATACTGTCCCAACATCATAGAAAGACTTTTCCTCTTGGTTTTGCCTTTCATTTGTCAAACATCTATATGTGCAATATTTGATCATTTCTGACTTTGACAGCTCCTACAGGTGATACCAAAGGAAACTCTGTGGCAGTCAGCACACATGCCAACAACTGAAGTCAGTGAGATCATCTGTACTGCATGCAGGACACTGACAGACTCTGACTGCGCTTGATTCTGTCTTCATACCAGACTCATCAGTGCCCTCTGCTGGGTCACTACTCTGCCCTGTTAAGATGACCAGTATGAACGCATGAAATCTGTATGAAGGTAACAGGCTCTGCCCTGAGGGTCAGCACAACACATGACGACCTCGTACATGAACGTGCATCCAACACCAACCAGGAGAGATAAATACAACATGAACTGTTTTGAAAAATATGCAATTTCATACTGTGAGCACAAATGAAGTCATTTAATAATTTACATTGATAAATAAAATAAAATAAAAAAAAATGTAACACACATGATGAAATCTCAACCAAAGACGATATGATAAGAGTGACATTGTCAATAATAAGTCGCAGATAAATACTTTATATAACAATTATATAAGTGAGAAAAACAGGAAGGAACTTGTTACCTTCAGCCTTTCCGTAGAAGAGTGTATTCAGCACTAAAATAAAGATTGAAACCTCATCAGACATGATCAATCTGACAAACAGTCAAAATCATAATAAACTACAGCATTTAAGAACCAGGTGGATTTTCAGCTGAGGCAGCTCTTGCTTATCAACTCATTTCTGAGGCAATACTCAAAAAAAACAAACTCAAAAGAAACACATGAAATAAAATGAGAAATATATTAAATCTATAAACATAATACCTTAGAACTATATACTGTGCATGCATTGTACAAATATTTGTCCAAAATAACTAGTACAGTCGTGTATTTAGTCCACCACTCGAACCAAGAATAACCAACACACATGGTCATGTCAACAAAAGATTGTGAAAATGACTGATGTACTCACAGAATAAGGACAGCACACAGAGCAGAGTGTGCCCCATCTTCACATCCAGCACTGACACCGTCGCCCTGCTGCTCTGCTTCTGGGAAATGTTCCAACTTTACATGAATAATAACGAGCAAAAAGAGAGAGAGAAAAGGACGGTACATAAGAAAGAAGTTACATTTCATACAAATACGAGATTAGAATTTCTCTCGACTTCTCTCTCTCGAGTGTATAGCCTCTGTGTTCTTCCTTCCGTTTTTGCACAAAACTGAAGAACAACTAACATGGCTTTTGACCACAGTAACACGTTCACATGTTTACACTTCCTGCCGATTGAAAAGATACATTAGCTTGTTTCTCTGGCAAACTTTGCCCCACAAATGCCTGTTATTGTCATGAGTTTTGTTGCGTGTTACGCACAGTACATTGTGTATAGTCTGTGCTTAACACTTTCCATAATGTATGATATAAAATGTCAAAACTTATTACTGATGAAATACTCAAAATACTCACAAATAACACTTGTGGTGATGATATAAAACCTTAGGCTCAAGACTTATGTAGCTATAGTGAATTGGAACTGGTGTGATTATTATTAAATAGCTGTATTACACCTGTTTAGACAGTGCTGGATAGAAGTAAGTATAATCCAGCACACTGATTAACTGCTGTGTGCTATGTAATACAACAGATTTCTCGAATGCGTGCGGTGCAACAATTCTTGTCAAACATACTGTGCACAACAATGTGCTTAAAATGCACAGTTCTTAAATCCAGAAGCTGTGTTTTTAAAGAAAAAAACACTTTCAAAGGTTCTTCTGCAATGGCCACAGAAAAGACCAGAGAAAGACTCACTGAAATCAACCTATCACACATTCTCACACTCATTGAGATGCTATTTTTATCTGAAAATATCCCCAGGTATTCATCTTAAAATCACAAAATTAAGCTGCAGTACTATGATGAAAAACACCCGATAACCTCAGAATAGTATTCTGCAGATCTTCTCAGTTTGGAGAGGTGTTACGTTGTATCATAT